TTTTTAAGGAGTGTATATATCAACTGCACGGCGGCTAATCCCTATTGTGCATTTTAACGAAAACTGTTCGGTCTGTTTTATGTTGAAATTGTGTGTTACTCATATTTTTTTCTGCAGAGATGGACAATTGGCTGGTGTACCATTTATTGATGACTACATTTCAACCACAGAGCAGGTTAGTCTCATTTCTCCCTGATGGTAGGCTATTGAGCTCAAGCTACTGCCATTTAAACAGGAGGCTACTGCCATTTAAACAGGAGGCTTACTGGAGTAACAGTTGTCCAGATCTCATTTTCTTCCTGAAGCTTAGTAATTTGTAATTAGTGTTTCTTCCACGACACGACATGAATGGCGTGGCGTGACGTGACCCAAAATGCCTGCAGAGTGCGATTTAAGATCCATCCAGGCGTACTCCTTGATCTGTGGTCAGTATGTCTTCCACAGCATGTGACATGGCGAGTCACAAAGAGTGTGAAGAATGAGAATTGCAATCTGTGTTGTCGTCAGGCCATAAAAGTTGGGCGGTTTGTTGCGGTTCCTTGCGCCGTCTTAAAGGAGCTGAGATAATAGGAGGTTAAGGCAATACGCGTCTGCTTATAAAATGGACTATTGGTTGGTTCCATTTTTGTCTTTCAGGTTGTTGATTACTTAACCAAGTTTTCAGGTATAAAACCAGGGGACTTGGACGCAACAATGTCCTCCAAACATCTCACCACACTTAAAACAACCTATCGCAAGCTGAGGGCTTTAGTCGCAAGAAAAGTGAAGTTTGTTGGTCATGGCCTGAAGAAAGACTTCCGAGTCATAAACATATTGGTACGTAATGGGCATTTTGATTTGTTTCACGGTGCGACAAGGTCATGAACCATTTACCTTTATACAGCCATACTACTCAATTATTTTCTTTTATTGATTTTTTTTACTTCTATTTTCTTGCTTTTGGTTTGCTGATACATGTTGTCGTCATTGTTGCTGTTGTTATGTTGTTGCTGTTGTTGTGTTGATGCTGTCATTTCTCCGTTCGTCGTCATCTTTCCTTCTTTCAACGCTTTTTCATTGAGGTAAATTTGTGTTCTATAAACAAATTATTGTACTTTCTAGGTTCCAAAGGAGCAAGTATTTGACACTGTGGAACTCTTTCATCTGCCGCGTCAACGATTCATCTCCTTGCGATTTCTGGCCTGGTATTTTCTAGGTAGATCTAGGAATGCTTAATAACTTTGTTCCCTGATATCTTCTAATATTTAACGTATACGATCAACGGACTGACTTTGGTTTACCGATGGAGTGATGGTTTGATTGATTGATTGATTGATTAACTGATTGATTGACTGGTTGACTGATTGAAATATTTATATATTCGTTGATTGGTTGACCGTAGCACGGCGATTAATCATATTGTGCTTGGAAGCTATGCAACTGAGCTACAGAAATGAATAAAGGCTGATAGTTTCGAAAGAAACTGTTTGGGGCTGCGTCGGTGGGAGTAACGAAATAATTTGGATATATCAACAAAGTTGAAGTGGTAAATTGGCCACCGTAACGATTACAAAAGTCGACGTTTCGAGCGTTAGCCCTTCGTCGTAGCGAATAGGGGAATTGTGGGTTGTGTGTGCTCTTAAAGACAGAGAATTGAGCTACGTTATTGGTGGGAACATGGCAACGAGAAAAACAAGAATAAATTAGTAGAATGATAAGGAAAGACCGCAGATTGCCATATGTTGCTTAGAATGATTAGGTAAATTAAAATGTCTAGCGACTGGTTTCGATGTGTCCTTGTCATTCCTTTCCACGTCTCGAAGGTGTTCTCGGAATCGGTCACCTAGTCTTCTGCCTGTTTCGCCGATGTATATCTTTTTGCAATAAGTGCAAGTTATGCAATAGATTACATTGGCGGAGGTGCACGTGAAGTGATCGGTGATCTTAATGGATCGTTTAGGTCCCGATATTTTATCAGTGTTGTGAATGAAAGGACACGTTTTGCATCGTGCACGAGCGCATTTAAAAGTGCCTGGTTGGTCATTAGTCTGAAAAGAACTTCTGACCAAAAAATTGCCTATGTTTTGTCGCGTTTGAATGAAATGAGCGGAGGCTGCGAAAAGATAGTTCTTGTCTCTGGATCGTTTTGAAGTAATTTAAAGTTTTTTAAGAATGATGGATTTAATTGAGTGGTTGTGAGGGTGAAACGTGAGAGTGAATGGAATGCGGTCGGAATCTTCCTGAGCTACAGAAAACTCTGTGGTGAGTTAGGCCATTACTATCTTCATATGTGACACGTGTCCTTCATACTGTAAGCATTAGCATCTTTACCATGAGATCCTAGCTCATCATAGAGTTTTTAGTTGCTCAGTGGTAGAGCAACAGAGCGCGGGATCCCAAGGTCTGGGATTTGTAATTATATCTCTAATTTCTAATTGTCCCTAACATCTTATTTGTTTTACTACAGGGTTAACAATCCAGTCCGAAACTCATGATAGTACTGAAGACGCCAAAACAGCTTTACAACTTTATAGGAAATACGAAGAATTGTCTTCAAAAGGAGAGTTTAGAAAAGTTTTGAAACAGCTGTACGAAGATGGAAGAAAGTCTGGATGGAAAGTCGAAGAAAAAGATTTTTAATACCGCTTTTTAGCTTGGAGCAAGATCAGATGTTTTTTCCACTATCTATTAACGACGACATTCCGTATGGCTCGAAACAGTGTAGATATTGACAAGATATTAAATAATTTATCAAATGCATTAGTTCGCTTTCGTTTTCTTTGGGCGTTAAAGACAAGGAGAGAAAAAAAGCATAGGTTGTGAGTGGGTGAGCAAGGGAGTAAGTGGGTGGACAAGGGAGTGAGTGGATGAGCGAGGGAGTAAGTGGGTGGACGGGGAAGTGAGTGGGTGGACGGGGGAGTGAGTGGGTGAGTGAGGGAGTAAGTGGGTGGACTGGGGAGTGAGTGGGTGAGCAAGGGACTAAGCGAGTAAGAGAGGGAGTGAGTGGGTGAGTGAGTAAGTGGGTGGACAAGGACGTGGGTGAGCGAGGGAGTGACTAGGGAGTGAGTGGGTGAGCGAGGGAGTACGTGGGTGAGCGAGGGAGTGAGCAAGGTTGTGAGTGGGTGAGCGAGGGAGTAAGTGAGTGGACAAGGGAGTGAGCAGATGAGCGAGGGAGTAAGTGGGTAGACAGGGGAGTGAGTGGGTGAGCGAGGGAGTAAGTGGGTAAGCAAGTGAGGGAGTGAGTGGGTGAGCGAGGGAATAAGTGGGTGGACAAGGGGTGAGCAAGGGAGTGAGTGGGTGAGCGAGGGAGTAAGTGGGTGGACGAGGGAGTAAGTGGGTGAGTGGGGGAGTAAGTGAGTGGACAAGGGAGTGAGTGGGTGAGCGAGGGAGTGAGTGGGTGAGCAAGGGAGTGAGTGGGTGGACAAGGGATTGAGTGGGTGAGCGAAGGAGTGAGTGGGTGAGGGAGGGAGTAAGTGGATGGATGAGTGAGTGAGTGAGGAGTCGGTGGATGAGGGAGTGAGTGGGTGAGTGAAGGAGTAAGTGGGTGGATGAGGGAGTGAGTGGGAGAGCGAGGGAGTAAGTGGATGGACGAGGGAGTGAGTGGGAGAGTGAGGAAGTAAATGGGTGGAGGAGGGAGTGAGTGGGTGAGCGAGGGAGTCAGTGGGTGAGCGAAGGAGTAAGTAGGTGGATGAAGGAGTGAGTGGGTGGACTAGGGAGTGAGTGGGTGAGCGAGGGAGTAGGTGGGTGAGTGAGGGAGTAAGTGGGTGGATGAGAGAGTTAGTGGGTGAGCGAGGGAGTAAGTGGGTGAGTGAGGGAGTAAGTGAGTGGATGAGGGAGTGAGTGGGTGAGCAAGGGAGTGTGGGTGGATGAGGGATTGAGTGGGTGAGCGAAGGAGTGAGTGGGTGAGCGAGGGAGTAAGTGGATGGATGAGGGAGTGGGTGAGTGAGCAAGTGAGGAGTCGGTGGATGAGGGAGTGAGTGGGTGAGTGAAGGAGTAAGTGGGTGAGTGGGGGAGTAAGTGAGTGGACAAGGGAGTGAGTGGGTGAGCGAGGGAGTGAGTGGGTGAGCAAGGGAGTGAGTGGGTGGACAAGGGATTGAGTGGGTGAGCGAAGGAGTGAGTGGGTGAGCGAGGGAGTAAGTGGATGGATGAGGGAGTGGGTGAGTGAGCAAGTGAGGAGTCGGTGGATGAGGGAGTGAGTGGGTGAGTGAAGGAGTAAGTGGGTGGATGAGGGAGTGAGTGGGAGAGCGAGGGAGTAAGTGGATGGACGAGGGAGTGAGTGGGAGAGTGAGGAAGTAAATGGGTGGAGGAGGGAGTGAGTGGGTGAGCGAGGGAGTCAGTGGGTGAGCGAAGGAGTAAGTAGGTGGATGAAGGAGTGAGTGGGTGGACTAGGGAGTGAGTGGGTGAGCGAGGGAGTAGGTGGGTGAGTGAGGGAGTAAGTGGGTGGATGAGAGAGTTAGTGGGTGAGCGAGGGAGTAAGTGGGTGAGTGAGGGAGTAAGTGAGTGGATGAGGGAGTGAGTGGGTGAGCAAGGGAGTGTGGGTGGATGAGGCATTGAGTGGGTGAGCGAAGGAGTGAGTGGGTGAGCGAGGGAGTAAGTGGATGGATGAGGGAGTGGGTGAGTGAGCAAGTGAGGAGTCGGTGGATGAGGGAGTGAGTGGGTGAGTGAAGGAGTAAGTGGGTGGATGAGGGAGTGAGTGGGAGAG